TTTAACTGTTTTATCCTACAACAGTTTCAGTAAACTGTTTCTGGGAGTAAAAAAGTTTCAGTAAACCGTATCAAGCACAAGAAGATTAGCACAATAATAAACCCCAAAAGATCATTGTAATGCAGCAAAAAGCATCTACACTAGAATCTGAACGTAGTGGATGACAAATTAAATCAAAGACCTTCAGTTACTGTGCATGACAAATTCCTGTGCAAAATGTTAGTGTACCTGTCCTGTACCTTCAAACAATGTAATGTGCCATCCTTGTAAAGTTGTAATGATTATAAATGTGATATTGTACAAATACTAACTGAATTATGTCCAGAGGTTTGTTTTTTGAGGAATTAATTCAGAGGTTAGAAAATTAGTATATTACTATGCAAAGGTGAAATCAGATGACTGAACTTGATTTGCCTATTTATCTATAGGCAAATGTTCCAGAATGGAACTGAATTATATGAATCAAGGAGTGAAAAAATTCACAAGGCAAATCAAACTACTTTTACTCTTCTATTAGACTGCAACAGTTTCAGGCAACTACCAAATCCTAAATGAACTACTTTTACTCTTCCATAAGACTGCAACAGTTTCAGACTACTACCAAATCCTAAATGAACTACTTTTACTCTTCTATAGTAACCTTTTTCCAAGCACGATCAGATTAGCACTCAACTAAAGTAAGATTCTAAATATTTTCATGTAGTAAAATAGTATCTACACCAACATCTGTAGATTCTGCATAATAGATTCAAGATCAGAGTACATTCTCGCCAAAGAAGATCAGAAGGAGGCAGATGAACAATCTAAATCTCAGAATTTTGTAGAATAAAAAGAAACAACTAAGATTACAGCTAATGTACAAAACCTGAATATAGCTTATGTGCAGAAATCAGATTCATTTAATTTAGTATTGTTAGAACCTGAAATCTCATTTAATTTTCACATAGTTATTCGACGCTAATTCAAATGGATACCACAGCATCTTCTATGCTAAGGACAAAAGGAGATGAATCAACTGAGTGGGTGTTTTAAGTTCCATAATGATTTATTCCCCCAATAACAGATCTTATTTTACTTATCTACAAGATTACAACAGTTGCATGCAGACAATTCCTAAAAAAAAAGTTGCATGCAGACAATTCCCAAAACCTATCAGTTTTAGACTACAAGAGTTTCAGTTAACTGTTTTTTCATACAACAGTTTCAGTAAACTGTTTCTGGGAGTAAAAAAGTTTCAGTAAATCGTATCAAGCAGTAGCAGATTAGCGCAATAATAAACCCCAAAAGATCATTGTATTGCAGCAAACAGCATCTACACCAGAATCTGAACGTTGTGCATGACAATTTAATCAAAGACCTTCAGTTGCAGTTCATGACAAATTCCTGTGCAAAATCGTGGTGTACCTGTCCTGACAAATGGGCTAATTCAAATGATTTGGAGTTTTAAGTTCCATAATGATTTATTTCCCCAATAACAGATCTTAATCTACTTATCAACAAGATTACAACAGTTGCAGACAATCCCCAACACCTGTCAGTTTTAGACCACAAGAGTGTCAGAAAACTGTTTTTTCAGACTACAAGAGTTTCAGTTAACTGTTTTTTCAGACTACAACAGTTTCAGTTAACTGTTTCTTGGACTAAAACAGTTTCAGTAAACTGTATCAAGCACAAGCAGATTAGCACAAAAATATAACCCAAGAGATCATTGCAATGCAGCTAATAGCATCTACACCAAAATGTGAACACCACCAGTTGCAGTTCATGACAAATTCCTGTGCAAAATCGTAGTGTACCTGCCCTGTACCCTGACGAAACCCGTGAAAGATCCCTGCTGATGCTCGAACTGAACCCGTATGAACACCGGAGGGCTCGACGCCAACGGGTAGCCGTGGAACTTCCATGGCGTGTAGCGGGCGAGCTGGGACCTGAGGCTGCTGCCCGCCGAAGCGTGGCGGCGCGAACTGGGGCGGAGGCCCCTGGAGCTGAACCTGAGCCATCGGCGCGTTGAAGTAGCGGGGGGCCTGAAGCCGCTGGGATCGGAGCGGCGGCTGGACCTGAAACTGGAGCGGCGGCGGATGCATCGGCTCGTTGACGTTCGGCGACCCGAGCTGGAGCTTCTCGAGGTCCTGGAAGAGGTCGCCCATCGTGTACCCGAAGCGGTAGTCGCCGAACACCTGCACAGCAGGCAACAGGGCGGGAAGCCCTGAACGAATTCCTCCGATTAGTTTGCAAGAAAGCAAGAACAAGAAATCAACAGGAGAACTCGGCCGGGAGGGGACTGATCGCACCTGAGAGAACCGCCTTCGCTGCGGCGAAGGTCCCCGCCTTGGTCGTCGTGGCGGGATCGACAGAGTTCGGAGGAGTCGCCGAGGTCGTCCCCGCTGCGGCGTCCGCCTCGGCCGTGGCCGCAGTCGTCTCCGCTGCGGCATTGTCCGCGCGCCCGTAGAGCGAACCAAGCGACATGCCTACGGTGTCCCCGTCGAACGTGTAGCTGGGCGTCTTCCCTCCTCGCCGACGGTCCTCGCTCCTCCTCGGAGGACGCGGCGGCGGCGCTGCTCTCCCGCCCCTGGGAGGACGCGGTGGCAAACTCCCCAGAACCGGAAAGGCCGTGTCGTAGTCGAGGCTCGGCGCGAGCGCTCCGTCGGCGGGGGGCCGCGAGGAGGAGGCGGCGGTGGAGGGCATGGAGGAGGAGGAGGACGAGGCCATGGAGGCGGCCGTTGGGGGTGGCGGGAGTTTGAAGAAGAATTGGTTGGGGAGGCGGTTGGGCCGTTGGTTGGGGGTGCTGCCCTCCCGTATTTATATTGCTGCGCATAGCACAAGAATCAATCAAGAAGTGCCCCGCGTACATTCGCCTTCTTCTTCTTCTGCCCTGTACCTTTTTTTTTTGCGGGATAATACTCTTGTATAGTATTACTCAAAACTATCCAGGGTTACAATCACGACCGGCAATGTTAAGGAGTTCATCAGGATCGATCCAAGCCACACAACAGTTCGGCATTGTGATCGTCCAAAATTTGCTAAAAAGTGACTAGCATTATTTTTGCTGCGCACAACATGAGTAATACTCCCTCCGTTCCAAATTACTCGTCGCAGAAATGGATGTATCTAGAAGTTCTAGGTACATTTAGATACATCCATTTCTGCGACGAGTAATTTGAAACGGACGAAATACAAGAATTATGCTCAATCAAACTAGCTTTGATCTCCCCTATCAGAAAAGCATATTTTGATCTATCCATCTCTTCAATCATCTTCACTGCTTCAAGGTTGTCTGACTCAACATCAACAATCAGAGACCTTCTCGAATGCCTATGATCTCCTTCTGCCCCGTACCCTGCAGTGCAAAGTGCAAGAATCACGTACGTACGCGCTCATCGCTGGCTGAATCCAGCCTTAAGGCTGCAACATCTTTTTTGCACCTTGGCACTTTCACAGGTTCTTTTTCTTGAGGGATGAAAGATTTTATTTATTCATCATCAAAAACCATATTCAGAATTTGAAACCATGCATGCACACCTTGCCGAGGCCCTGTAACAATGTACTATACCATGCTTCAAATTTTCACAAGCGTTTGCAAGAATTAGAGCGGGCGTGAGACGTGGAATATGTCCACGAAGGGACTAGGAAAAAAAAGACCTCCCTTCGAAGGGAGGTCCAATTTAGCGGCCTGTGCGCCCCAAGACGCAGGAACACACACCTCCGCACAGGGCGGACGCCCCCCATTTTGTTTTCCCTTTTTTACTTTTCCTCCTATTTTCACTTTTTGTTTTATTCTATATCTTAAAATAATACGGGATGGGTTCTTAAATTTCATAAAATTTTGAATTGTACAAAATAGTTCTTGAATTAAAAAATGTTCGCAATATCAGAAGAATGAATTTTTTATTTTGATGAAAAAATTGAGCATTTTTTATTTTAGAATAATTTTTTGATAAAGAAAATTGAACTTGATGAACAAAAGTTTTATTCAAGAACCATTTTTTGAAAAATGGATGAACAAATATTGAATTCAATGAACAAATTTTGTATTTGATGATTTTTTTTGAAAACTATGAACAAGTTTCGAAATTGATGAACATTTTCTTAATTTGATGAATAAAAAAATGTTTGGCACTTGGAAAAAGAAAATTCAAAAAACTGAAAAAAAAGTAAAGGAGGAGAAAAGGAAAAGAAAAAAGAAAAAGGGAATCGCTCAGCTTCAACGTCTGAAAAAGAGACATCCACTGTGCAACACGTGTCCATCCCAACATCGCCATCATCCTTGCCACGACTACGGCTCTCAGCCCCCTATGTACCCCGCCGCCACTGCCGCTCTCACCAACAACCGTGGAATGTGGTTCGTCGCGAGATGAATGGGAAGTAGGGTTATGTCGGTCAAAATGATTTGAGGCAAGCATGGCAACTTTTGTGCTTTTGTTTGTTTTTGAAAGAAACTTGCCGCGTGCCACTAGAATTTGCCATCCTTGCGTGCCTTGTCATCGAAAAACGTCAGGGCTGGAGTGCCACACATCCCACGTGTGGCATTTATCATTAGGGTTAGGAAAATGTCTTTGTGCTTAGTAGGCTACGTGTGCAAGTACAATTGGAAAGCTTAGCTTAAGTCGGTTTGGAGTTTGCTTGGTCTAGCACGAGTCGGTTTTGTAACTCGTACCTGCGCCTGTACAAGCAAGCAGCGGCAGTCTACGGGTTGCAATCACCAGAGATTTGAGAAACAAAGACAAGAAAATCAAGGCACGCAAAAAACGTAGGCTATTAGGGCGTAACCCCCCGCTGGACAGTGGACACACGGCCCTCCTGCGGCCCAGATCCAACCAGCCGGCCTGCCTACACGCTATTTGTTGTGGAGCATAAACAAACGTAGGCTATTTATCTTCCGTAACGCAAAGGGACTCCTAGTCTCCGATCCCGATCGGCTTAACCATATACTGACATATACGGGGAAATCCTTCTATTTACTTTGGCCAGCCGCCAAGAGGCACCGGGACATTGATCCATCGATGGGTTCCTTATTCTCTTCCACTGCCGGCGGCGACGGCGGCGCCGCTGCCTTTGATTACGCCAACCCTCCCCCAGGCAGCCGTATGTCAAAAGAGTATGTAATTCGTAGCTACTGGATATATTATTTCTGTAAATTTCCTCAATTGCTTGCATGTATTTCTATTCTTATAGGAGTACTTATTATGTTTATTTATTTGGTGTACCCTTGTTTATTTGGAGACAGAGATATCGTCGCCTTCCGAATTTCTCAGCTTGTTGACGTCGCCCTTGAACATTACAACTCCAACAACCCGGTATGATACTCTCTCCGTCTCTCCCTCTCATACATCCAGGCGAGTACTTAATACTTATGATTGAGGGTTTGAGATCGATCGCTGAGATGCAGGGTGCCGAGTTCGAGTATCCTGAGTATCCTCCCACCACAGAGATGAACGCCGTCTGCATCGGTTTTAGGGAAACTTTCTGGTACCACCTCGGCTTTTCGGCTCGCCCAGTGGATGCCACCGCCGAGACGCAACACTTCTTTGCCGAGCTATATTTTGATAGACGCTGGTGCCAAATAGTCGTTGAAACATGCACTATCTTAGGTACTACCTAAATTTATCTTTACATTCGCCATACTGTGTTTGCTAGCCACTTGAGTATATCCATATCATTAATGTAACTTGCAGCTAATTCTGTCTTTATCTTTCTCTGTAATGTCAACAGAAAAGCCGTTGTGCCGCTTTAGAGCCTCGTGTGCATTTTGTCCAGATGAATCCAATGTCTTGCACCCAAGCAGTGCAGATTTTTTCTGTGGAAAACAAGATCACGAAAAAGAATTCTTTCGCAAGAGAGATATGCTAGTGCGGCCATTCAATTCTTTTATGACACCTCCTGATATAGATAGCACCGACGATCCATGACTCAACACATATGTTATGGCCCATGGATTATAGTTGTAAAATAAGTATGTTTTTCTTCTTGACTCAACTCATATGTTATGGCCTATGGATTACAGTTATAAAATGAGTATGTTTTTCTACTTGACTCGACTCATATGTTATGGCCTATGGATTACAGTTCTGAAATAAGTAATTTTTCTTCTTGTTTTTATCATCCTTGTTGTTCAATTTCGTTGACCACTAGAAAAATAAAAACTAGTATTTCAAAATTTAATGTGCACAAGAACAAGAACCAGAACTGATAAGCATGGGTGCAGCTATAGCGCATGAGACCAGCTTTCTCTCTCTCTCTCTCTCTCTCTCTCTCTCTCTCTCTCTTATTTCAGTGGTGTAATTTATGTTATATTTCACTCGGCCGAGACTTTCCAATAATAATGACTAGCTAGCCTTTTGGGTTGTGTTTGAAAAAGAGTCATTCCAAGCTAGGTTGAAGAAGGCTCCGTCAAGACTACAAAGTTGGTTATGCTTGATTGTTTGACCAATTAAATCTACTGTCTAGGAGCGCAAGTTCTAAGAGTGCGAGCAACTCCCTCTGTCCCATAACATAATATAAGAGCGTTGGGACGGAGGGAGTAGTTGATTGTATCACCATACAAATTTGCTTCCATTTGATGGACCGCACAAGAACTTGAATAAAAATACATGAAAATTTGCAAAGCTTGGGGCGTATGCACATATGCTCTAACATGGCAGCTGGGACCTCGTCAGGCTTGGTCTTGAAGTTCATTAGCCTATATTCCACCGTGTGGCAGCTGGGCCTCCTTGGATACATGGATTTGCCCTCAAGGCTCGCTAGCATCTTCACCATGGCAACTGCGACCTAGTTAGGCTTGATCTCGAAGCTCTTTTCGAGGTCGGGGTTACTCTTTATTATTGCAAAATTTGTAAACAACCTTTTTGCTAAGTTGGTGCCATCGTCTGAACCTATTTGCGCTGGTTGCTACTCCCAAAAGTTAAAACGCTCTTAAATTATGAGACGAAGGAAGTACTTTCTGAGCCTTTCTAAGTTGGCACCGCCACTTGCCCACTTGGCCCTATGTGATGCCTGTTGCGGTCTCTTTTGTTTCTTCACATCGAGAAATGTCAGAGTACACACCTTATAGGGATGTTATCATTGTGGATGCAAGACGCCCCCTCGAGCTTACCCCTCTTGACTAGTGTCTCAAAAAGGAAAACCTCTTGACCACTAGGTGCCTGAACTTGTTTCCACTGCCAAGTATTTGCTCCTTGTGGAATACAGTGTGGTCCTAGCCATCGTCTAAGATCTCTATGCAGATACACTGAGCTCTGGAGTGAAAGCTTAAGTCTGATTCGAGTTGGTTATACCTAGCTACTGCATGTTTTTATGTTGTTACTTTGTTAAAGGCATTGCTCGGACTGATTCTTCAGGGTGAAAACCTAGATTCTAACCTTGAGTGGTTTGATTCGGTGACGGCAGCGTTTGAGCGGCGTTTTCTTTCTGAAGGCGTTGCTATTGAAGGACCTCGTCGTATGTGTGGTGTCATGAGATGGTTGGTGTGGATATGGTCATTGTTGTAGTTTGCCGATCATGAATGCGATTGAATCAGTTTTTTCTTTACTCGCTTATGCATAGTTTTGGTCTTGTATGACTGCTTGCCGGCGCATTTTTGTGTACGTGTGTCGAACGTCCGAAGGTCTTTAAACCCCATTCCACCTTTTCCTTTAGGTCTCACCATAAAGACGGGATGTGTGCTTCTTGTGTTTGTATCACGTTGATGTTTCATTTTGAGTCAACAAAATCCACTATTTATCAAAAATGTAGATATTGCTCACAGTAGTCTTTTTTCTAATACGGTTTCTCCCAAATACATCAGAGATATATGTTGTTTGTTGCCCCCGTTAAACCTACCATTTATACGATTGGACCAGTGGCTTAAAATCGACGAAACGAATGAACCAACCGGAAATCAAAACCAGATATGCTCTGGGATCAAATCGTGTAAGGATGGGCGTACAAAGCTTATATGAAATTGTTAAATCTCAGTCAACTGGGACGAAAACTTCGTCGATGCTACAGTCATGAAATCTTATATTAGAGATTCATGTAAAAAAAATTCTGTTTTTTTTTTTTTCTTTTTTCATATGTTGTGTCATTTGACTGAGATTTAATTAAGTTTTGAGTTGGATCTAGCCACACCCAAGCTTATATGCATAGCTGCTTGTAAGTTGTACGTCTGCCACGGTCCTGAGTCATACGGCCGATCGAGCCTTTTTCCGTTCTGCTTACAGTTGCAATCGATCACGCGGCGACACGCAGAGCTTCGTCTAGCGGGCAGAGCAACAACGAAACGCACCGTCGTTTGTCATCAGAAGAAGAGAAGAACACCAGAACGAGCCGATCTGTCGAGTCACCGGCCTCCAGAATAACCCAAGGCGCACCTGCCGCGCTCCGGGCGCCACGGCGCATACACGCACTTGCCGGTCTGTCGCCGAGGACAGCTAGCCACGTCCACCTCCCAAGTCCCAACCCACCACGTATGGGTTGCGCACGCACCTCGCTGCCGTGGGTCTGGCTCGCGCCGCAGTATAAACACCCACCGTGTAGCGCTACAAAACTAGGCTTTGGAGTCCATTTTGGGACCGGTTCAGGGGATAGATACAGCAGCAAGTCCAACAACGGTAGTAGTAACAAAGATGGAGGAGTACCAGGGGCAGCACGGTCACGCCGTCGACGAGCACGGCGACCCCGTGGCCGGGCACGGCAACCCTGTGGCACGCTCCGCCGCCGGCGCGTTCACGGGCGCCGGCGGGCAGCTCCAGCACGGCAGGGAGGAGCACAAGACCGGCGGGATACTGCACCGCTCCGGCAGCTCCAGCTCCAGCTCGGTGCGGTTTCTACCTCTGCGTGTTCCATACTTCCATTTCAGAAAACGTTTTCTTTGGTAGTATGTTCCAGTCTTTCAGACATATGTGCATCTGCTGATCTCCGTCGCTGTTGTGTGTACGTGTTTGCAGTCTTCTGAGGATGACGGCATGGGCGGGAGGAGGAAGAAGGGCGTGAAGGAGAAGATCAAGGAGAAGCTCCCCGGTGGCCACAAAGACAGTCAGCAGCACATGGCCGCGGGAACCGGAGCTGGCGGGGCCTACGGGCAGCACACGGCCGCGGGAACTGGGACCGGCGGAGATTACGGGCAGCAAGGGCACGCACGAATGGCCGGTGCTGGCGCCGGCGAGAAGAAGGGACTCATGGACAAGATCAAGGAGAAGCTGCCCGGACAGCACTGAGCTGCCGGCCCCGACTGGCTGTCCGCTGCCGACTAGCCCTCTTGAGTTAAGCTTGAGCTGAGTAAATAAGATGCCTGCGAATATTTAAGGGTGTGTTTGGTTGCAGTTAACAGTAGTTGCATTGCATGTTCATCGTCAGGGAGCCTGATTCTTTAAATGCAGCCTCATATGCAACAGATGCAATCAATAGGTTGCCTGCCTGCATCGCATAGAGGGCATTTACCCTTCGTGTTTGGTTTCCGTTTTTGTGCTTAGAATGTGAGCAGATGCGAACTTTTGTTTGGTCGCAAACAGTATTTATGTTCTGTTCACTATATTCAAATGTGGTGGCCTTACCACCACATGATCGGCACAACAGCAAAACAAAGCAAATGAAATCAAACAAATCAAGCAAGCAAATAACAGCAAACTACTTAACTAGATTAACAGCAGGAGCATCCTCCTTCCCTGCACCACGTACCCTGACCAAAATATGAACAAGTTCCTAGCACAAGTACCCATAAGTCTCGTCACACATCATAAAAGTTCAATATTAACATTTTACTTAACTTAACTACATAGCATGCTCAATGTCACCAACGCAGTTGTGCCTGCTGCAACGAAACCAACACATAACTGAGGAGTCGTGGTTGTCTTATTAGACGAGAGATAGTCAATATGATATTGGCGTGGTTCTACCAACTAAACGAAGAAGTTTTTGATTGGATAAACAGCGTATAATGATAAGACGCTTCTTCGGCACACATGGAAGCATACCTCCTGTAGATGACTCTTGAATTCAAGTAGATCTGAACCTTCAGGCCGAGTCCTGAGATGCGCATAACGATAAGGTTGTCGGGGACGATCCAGTGGCGACGGCAGAAGTAGTTCCAGCACTGGCCAAGCATCATGTGCCCCTCGAAGTTTTAAACCTGCACCCAGAACACACATTGCTTGTTCGCCGACAGCCTAACCACGCGCGGGAGCTGCTTAATGATCAGCCAGGTGAAATTGTGAGGGATGACGAGCATGGTGAAGTCCTCATTGTCCTTAATCTGCTGGTAGAAGCGTAGTGGCTCCCACATCCCCTCCTCGTGGCCCTGCCTCGAAGATCGTCCCCTTGAACGAGGCAGGCTTATGAAGGCGATCCTGCCAGGCAGGTCCACCGTCCCGAGCCACATGTTCATGGGGATGAAATCCTCGACGCCCTCAGCTCCGGCCACCGTCTGAGCTCCTCCATCCGCCATATTTCAGACAGTCTTCAATATCTTGTCAGGTAAAATAACAAGTATTAGTGCACAAACTCTTTGCAAAATGGCACTGATCAGAGACATTTGCCCAAGAGCAAATGCCACTTATCAATGCCACTTGTTGTTAGGCAAATGGCACTGATTAGTGGACTTGTCCAATAACAAGTGCCATTTATAAGTGACATTTTTGCCAACAGCAAGTGGCAATGTCACTGATCAGTGGCAATGATCAGTGGACTTGCCCAATAGCAAGTGCCAATGATCAGTGCCATTTGCTTTTCCGCAACTGCCACTCATCAGTGCACTATCCTAAGCATGACGACATCTAAAAATAACAACAGCAGGTGCCAATAGCACTCATATGCAGCCATGCACATTTGGCAGCATCCTAAAATGGTACTATTACATGCACGTATAACAATCAATACAAACCCTAGCTTGAATATGTATGTTAGCAACATGAACAACAACATGAACATGATCCTAGCTTGAGCATGAACACGCCATTTTCATGAACACACATCCTAGCAAGACCCTACCATGGACACATATCGTAGCAAAGCACACTACCATTGGGATTCTAGCATGAACACAACTACTAGCATGAACAAAGATCCTAGGACACACTAGCAGTAGCAGTAGCAGATCCTAGGACACACACTGTATGAAATAAGAACAGATCGGTCCGATTGGATCCAATCGAATCTACTCCAATCCCATCTAATCGTATCGAATCCACTAACTACTATCACATGCCTAAGAATTAAACACCTAATCTACATCTACGAGCAAGCATTGAGGGGGTTTGACTCACCGGAGCACGCGCAGTCGCAGCGAACCGCGGCCAGGTGAAAACACCAGCGGGAAGGAGAGAGGTGGCGGAGCAGAGGAGGAGCCGGCCCTGACGACGGCCTGCGGCATCGGCCCCGTGCTCATCGCCATGCCGGAGGTCGAGGAGGACGGCCCGCCGATAGGAGAAAACCCTTGGACGGGGGTCAAGAAAACCCCCTTGCCTAATAGGGTCCCAACAAGCAGCAGCTCCCTCGACGGCGCCGATGCCGAGCCCAGGACCACGAGGTCAGGAATCCGCGGCAGAGCAGGAACGGCCGGCACCGCATTGGCCGGCGGCGGTGGTGGCTACAGCAGATGGGGGACGGCGCTAGCAGCGCCGACGCCAGGTCCCACCTCGAGTTCTGGAGCCCGGCCAGGCAGCGCTCCTAGATGCTGGCGATGCGCTCGTCACAGGGGTCAGAGGGCGGAGCGACGATGGGCGAGGCGGAGCCATCGGAAGAGAGGAGAGGAAGGGGCGGTGAGGGAGAGAGGGAGCGGTGGGAACAGTGCGATTGGGCGGTGGCAGGAGAGTGGGGGCGAGTTATGAGACGTCCCTTCCGTCTCCCGTGTTGCCCGAGGCGTGCAACTGCCTCGCAGGTGTGGCCGCGCCTAGCCAGGCTCGCGAGAAACTGCCGAGGCTGCGGGTTGCTTTAAGGTCCGTGTGGGCCACAAACCACATGCAGCCCAGGCAACCAAACAGGTCGTGCACATCCCGCGCGGGCCTGGTTGGGCTGCATGTGGGCAACCAAACACGCCCTAAGATGCCATTCTAGCGTGCGTCGTGTTTGTTATGGCATCTCCACCGCGACCCTCTAAAGCATACATCGTTATTTGTTTGAACAAACAAGACGAATTTCACGCAAACCAGATGATTTTTATCTGAACCAGAAAAATTCATTATATTTTTGACATATTTCAACTAAAAAGCAGATGACATTTTTAACCTGGTTCAAATCTGAATCTTTGCAGGCTGTCTGTGTTTCACATGAGTCATCCGATAGCTGATCACGCAATTCTGTACATTTTATATGAAATTTGAATAAACAGGACAACTCTTGCCAACCAGATGATTTTTATTTAAATCGGATCAAATTTATTATATTTGACATATTTCAAATTTGAAAAAAAGCAGATGACACATTTATATCTAGTCTAAATCTTCGCCGGCCATGTAGGCGTCGTGTATGTGCAGTTGTGCACATTGATACTGATCATGCAACTGCATACCTCAGACATGCGCATACATTTCAAATGAAATTACCTCATCTCTAATTACGTCAAATCTCTCGAATAAAATTACAAACAGAACGAGTGTGTCTCAAACATGTGCATACATTTCAAATGAAATTACCTCAAATCTCTCAAATAAAATTACAAAGAGAACGAGCGTGACGTCCTCATATATTTCAAATGAAATTACTGTAGAAGTGCATGCTCTAGCCCGTGCATGTTCTAACCAATGCAACCAAAAGACTGATCTGATGGAAAAAACTAGGCAACACATTATACATTAACACTTCCCTTCACGTGTGGCCTTCCTCAGCCTAAACATGGACCGAAACTGGGTTGCAATATAATTGCGCCAGCCGGGTCTTGAACACAAGACCTCTTGGCTCTGATACCATATAGAAGTGCATGCTCTAGCCAATGCAACCAAAAGACCGATCTGATGTAAAAAACTAGGCAACACATTATACGTCAATAATTACAAACAGAACAACTTTTATGCAAATCTAATGATTTTTATTTAAGCGAGACGAAATTCATTACATTTTTAACATATTTCAACTAAACGAAAAACATATCACATTTTTTTATCTAGTCTAAATCTTCATCCGTAGTGTAGGCGTCAGTGTTTTACATCCTTCCTTTGCCTGCCGAAAGCAGTGTAGGCGTCAGTGTTTTACGTCCTTCCTGATGGCGGATGGGAGTGCTGGAGCAGGCATGATACTGAAGGAAATATGCCCTAGAGGCAATAATAAAGTTATTATTTATATTTCATTATAGCATGATAAATGTTTATTATTCATGCTAGAATTGTATTAACGGGAAACTTAGTACATGTGTGAATACATAGACAAACAGAGTGTCCCTAGTATGCCTCTACTTGACTAGCTCGTTAATCAAAGATGGTTAAGTTTCCTAGCCTTGGACATGTGTTGTCATTTGATGAACGAGATCACATCATTAGAGAATCTGTAGAGCATCTGACTATATGATGGACAAGACCCATTCGTTAGCTTAGCATCATGATCATTCAGTTTTATTGCTACTGCTTTCTTCATGACTTATACATGTTCCTCTGACTATGAGATTATGCAACTCTCGAATACCAGAGGAACACCTTGTGTGCTATCAAACGTCACAACGTAACTGGGTGATTATAAAAATGCTCTACAGGTGTCTCCGATGGTGTTTGTTGAGTTGGCATAGATCGAGATTAGGATTTTTCACTCCGTCTATCGAAGAGGTATCTCTAGGCCCTCTCGGTAATGTACATCACTATGAGCCTTGCAAGCAATGTGACCAATGAGTTAGTTGCGGGATGATGCATTACGGAACGATTAAAGAGACTTGCCGGTAACGAGATTGAACTAGGTATGATGATTGATGACCCACATGTGTAGGGGATCTACCGTAGCATTTTCGATAAGTAAGAGTGTCGAACCCAACGAGGAGCAGAAGGAAATGATAAGCAGTATTCAGTAAGGTATTCTCTACAAGCACTGAAATTGTCGGTAACAGATAGTTTCGTGATAAGGTAATTTGTAACGAGTAGCAAGTATTAAAAGTAAATAAGGTGCAGCAAGATTGAAAGTGCTAGTGATCGACTAGAGGGGAGGGTGAATAGGTGATTTTTATGAAAGTCTTCAAAACATGGAAGTTTCGAAGACAAACGGTAGAAATAAACCTATTACCATGCAGCGGAAGGAAGACTAC